TGGCTCACGGTAACGCCAAGCGAACACCAGCGGTGCGCGAGGCTGTCACTGCCAAGAAGGTAGCCTACCGGGCGTACATGTCCAGTAGGTCTGATTCTTCTAGGGCGTGCTACACCGAGACGCGACGAACTGCTGCTCGTGTTGTGGCCAAAGCGAAATAGGAGGCGTGGAAGGAATTCGGCGATCAAATGGAATCAGAATACCGCAATGCCATCAAGGTGTTCTGCAAAACATCCGAAGGATACGGCAAGGCAGGCAACATACGCTCCGGGTCATGAAAGACAGAAACGGGGAGGTGTTGACTGCAGAGGCGGATATATGATACTTGGGAGGTGGAAGGAACACTTTGAAGAGCTCTTAAACCCACCAACAGTGGACACTGACCTACCCGACCTGAAGCCTCTCAACGCGGAGACTAGTCTCACCATGGAGGAAGTTTTGCAGGCCTTTGCTAGCCTGAAGAATGGGAAGTCTCCTGGTGTGGATGAAATCCGGGAAGAGACTGAAACTAAAGGGCACAGATGGGTGCTCGTGGCTTCATTGGGTCTGTCAGGCTGCTTGGGAATCGGGCACGGCACCTAGGGATTGGCAAACCGGTGTGATGGTTCCTCTTTTTAAGAAGGGAGACTCGAGGTATTGCACGAACTATCGTGGGATCACTCTCCTCAGCATACCTGGTAACGTCTATTCCAAGGTGCTGGAAAAGAAAGCTCGGACAGTCGCGGATGAAGCCAACCAAGAGGAACATTGTGGCTTTCGTGAAGGATGCAGCACCACGGACTAGCTGTTCACTTTCCGCCCGATCCTCGAGAGACATTGGGAGTATGCCAAAGATGTCTACATCTGCTTTGTGGACCTTGAAAAAGCTTACGACCGTGTACCCCGAGGAAAACTGTGGGGAGTGCTGCAGGAGTATGGGATCAAGGGTCAGCTATTGCGGGCCGTTCAGTCCCTATACAGCGACTGCAGGAGCTGCGTCCTGGTGAGTGGGAGGAGTTAGAACTGTTCTCTGGTACGCGCTGGACTCCGGCAGGGTTGTGTCCTCTCACCTTTCCTCTTCCTTGTATACACCCAAGTAACACAGCATGTTGATTAAACGTTTCCGAAATGTTGCCTATGTTGCTCTATGTTGCAAGTTGCTGTACAACATTGAGAAAACATTGCTTCAATGTTTTCACTTGGAATGTTGCTGCGGCACTTCTACGAGTGTCATTGCAACATTAGCTATCAACATTGAGAGAATGTTGACACTCTTGACATCGACAACGTAGCGACAACATTCTGATACAACATGGACTTAGAAGTTTTAGAGAATTGAAAAGTTGTCCTCCTTGCCACGAGATGGAGACGTAAGTCTCGCTTTCTCTCAGTACACACAAGTGCCCTTCTCCCTTTTCCTGGAATAGTCCCGCACAGGAATGTCTAGTACCTTGCCATATGTCTCACATTGTCTCATTATAGGAATCAATGAACACGGACACTTCATCACCTGTTATCTTCATTTTCCAGACAGATTAATGGGGTCAAGATAAAAAAGCTCATATTCCCAAAAAGAACCCTTTCCAAGAACTCGTCGAGTTCAACCTACAGGACAATAAAAACGATGGTAGAGAGTCTGCGATCTCAATACTTCATATCCCCATTCTGGGTACTTGCTGAGGAAACGAAGGATTGATCTNCATAGATGCAACATTGTTCATCAACATTTCCTAAACGTTGCTGGAATATCTTGTGTTACTTGGGCATGGACAGGATCTGTAGGCTCAGCCTCGGCCTGGAGGGGGTCGACATCGGTGACGTCGCGATAATTATATTTCTCTTTGCCGACGATGCCGTTCTTATAACCCTCTCTCGACAGGACCTCCAGATCGTGCTCGATCGGTTCCACTCCGAATGCACTGCGGCCGAAATGAAACTCAGCGTCTCCAAGACAGAGTTCATGATCCTCTCGAGAAATCCTGCTCGGTGCACCCTGCATATCAGTGGAGTCCCACTAGAAGAGCTGGAGAAAGTCAAGTACCTCAGGGTCTGGTTCTCGAGTGATTGGCAACACGGAAACGAGATCGACAACCGCATCTCCAAGGCTTCTGCAGTTCTGCGGGAACTTTGGCGAACCGTGGTTGCTAGATCAGAAGTTTCTCAGGAAGCAAAACTCTCGGTTTTTAAAAGTGTTTATCTCCCCCACTCACCTATGGTCATGAACTTTGGGTAATGACCGAAAGCACCAGATCGCGAATACAAGCTGCCGAAATGAGGTTCTTGCATCGAGTGACTGGCGTAACGCGCCGTGATCGGATGCGGAACTCTGCCATCCGCGAGTCGCAATGTCGAGCAGCTGCTTCTCCGGATCAAGAGGTCTCAGGCCAGGTGGTTTGGACACGTCTGCCGCATGCCCCCTGAGAGGCTCCCAAGTGGAGTCTTCCAGGCCAAGATGACCGGCAAAAGATGTATCTGTAGACTTCGTATGAGGTGGAATGATTACGTCGCTCGGCTTTGTCACGAGAGGCTCGGCATCCTACAAGCTGAGCTAGAGCCTGTTGTCCAGGATCGAGATCATTGGGGGATGCTCGAACCGCGATCCCCCATAAAATTGGGAAAAGCTGCATAGAAAATGCATGTATGTATGTATGTAGTCTCATGCTGTGCTGTTACAAGCTTTGACTGTTTATTTTTAAAAATGACACCCCATTAGGGGTCCTTACGGCGTCAAAAAGAGCGTATGGAACTTGGACCACATTTCCTTAGTCTAGTTGCTGATTCACATTGCGAATCATCAATATCACGATAATGACAATTAACGAAGTAACGCAATTAACGGAAGTACGGGGAACCTTACCACTCCGCCAACAGCCCAACCCATGAGGATTCTTTGGCAATTCCCAATCAGGAAACTGATCTCAGGATCAAAGCAGGAGGAACCATGGGGATAATCCTGCAGGAACTGCTCGAAAATCTCCTCCTCGCCCTCGTTCACCGTGCATGTCATCAGCGTCAAATGGTGAACGTATTCTTCGTTTCCTTCCATTACCCAAGGATGATACTGGGGTTTTAAATGATGCAAAGAAGGTTAATGACGCTTATTTTTATGGAAAGAGATATGAAGTTAAGGAAGCATCTCCATTTCAGGATTACCCCAATGATATGGTGCTTGGTGTCGATTGGGGGTGCTTTAAATAAGCTGCACCAATAGGTGGTATCCAAGGCCGGGATGATAACGTCATTTCTGAGCTCCCACTCTTTTATTCCTGGTTCGTCCGGTATATCCCCTGAAATTGTGAAGCGAAGAAGCAATTTCAGTACTCTGTTTATATTAGATATACGGTTCGAGGCGATGAAGTATTAGTGTTTACCCATTTGTGGGTCGAGAAGATTGAGAGATTTCACACCGCGATTGTCTCGTCCATGATAAATAGGATCTTCTCCCTCTGGGTCCGTCTCTCCATATGCGTATATCAGACTCCAAGTGTCACTCTTGAAAAAGCATGTATGCGGACCGTAACTAATTTTCTTTGCAGATTGGCGGAAAGAGTTATGATGTATGATTAGTGAGTGCAAGAAAATTACCTTAAAATTAGAAAGGAAATACATTGGTGACAAAAAGGAATTAAAGTTCGAAGTGGAAAAGAAGAGTGCTTAAATTTCCGGAGAAAGGTCTATGCCATTTATTTCATTAATCTTTCAATAATTGCTTATCAATTTTGAAAATCGTTTAAAATATGAGGCCTCCGCTGAAGCTTCGATCTCCAGGAGGCTACAATGACACAGCTTTGAAATCTCGCTGCAAATCGGAATTCTGGTGTATGTTTTTAAGCGGATTACATTATACAAGTGCATACTTCTCATGAGCCTATATTTCCAGCAATTATATTTGGGGTGCTAACTTAGTCCTTCTCCGACCAAGACCATATTTAAAATGTTTGGAGGAGCAAAATTGCAGCAACATATTTATTATTATTTCGTGTTCGTTACATGTTACTAATAGGTGTTGTTGTGATGAGGGTGCCAAATCGCTCTCTCTGCTTTGAGGCAGCCCTATATTTAAATATAGGGTCACTCCACGCCAAATCGACCAGCGAGAAAGCTAGATCATATACGATTTTGGCGAAAATCTGCATTTACGAAGAGGAATCTACAGAACAAAGTATAAACGTGCAAGGAGAGGTACAAATGTGAGAGGTACATATTGTGTCCCTCGGGTCTGCACGTGTGGTCCAGACGTACACGTGTACGTTGCTGACGCATATGTCCGGGTTCTCAGTGCAGTTCAATTGAATTGGGTCTGTTTAAACGGATCCCTCTCCATATATACAGGTTTTCGCCAAAATCGGTCGAGTCGGAGAGGGTCGAGTCTACTCGCTGGTCGGTTTGGCGTGGTATGACCCGATACCATGTCTCATCCCTATGTGCTGCCAGCGGAGAGGAAGAAAAGGGAAATAAATATTTCAACTAATGAAAAGCAATAAATACTATACGTACTGTAATGTAGAAATCGTTTTCATCACAGGTGTCGATGAGACGTTTAAATCTGAGGATCAGCCCTTCTTCAGTCTCGGACGCAAAGAGGAGTTCGTAGTCCTGAATCTCGTCTACCAGAGGCAGCTCGTTTCCTACTGCATGTCTGTCCTGCAACAGAAAAACATCAGTGTTATCAGTGTTTATACCTTTTCGAATTTTAAAAAGGAATGGGACAAAAATTGAATGAAATTAGCTAGTGGCCACTACCTTCGTGCGGGAACTCCTCTGCGTCACTCAGTAATCCAAGAGTTTTTGGAATAGCGAGCAGCATTAATGAGAACGAAAATGTTCCGATAGATTATCTTCGATAGTGAATCTGCCTATGTGCTTAATAAGGAGAAGTAAAAGTGTCAAACGAATTCTCTTCATTTTTATCTCTGCAGGAAGCTAAGTTCTAAAACGTCGCTTGATTTTTCTGTACATCTTCAGGAGTTTTCCTGCCACGTTTCATCAATAAAAGCCACTTATTCAACTTTTTTGGACGTTTAGGATGACCCCATAGGGGTTGTAGAAAATGGATAAGTGAGTTACTTTCCTCCATTACTATTCATCCCACGCACTTGAAACTCTTATCGATTCATTGTATGCTAGTACGAGCTTTTGTACCAAATTTCATCAAGATTGCTAAACTTCTTGGTCGTACTTTTTTTGTCGGTGAGTGTATATTGACTAAAACGCCATCATGTTAGGTGTAGACGAATGGTAAGATAGGCATGTAGGTTTTTCCCATGAACTTCACATTGACGCAAGCTGTGCATTTTCCGCACCTGAGGCTCTCACGCTGAGATGAGATGAGAGCTTGGATGACTCATCAACGTGCGCCTTGTGACGCAATTCGAGCTTATCTTATTCGGTAGAGGATCGGCGAGGAGGCGCCACGAAGGCGAATGACGTTTCTTGGGAGAAAATCCAAATAAATAATTATGGAAGTTGTGAAATAGTCTGAAATCATGACATGGCAACCCTGCCATGTCATGATTTCACGAGAGCTTATGGTTCTTCACTTTTTTCGGCAGGTGAAAAGCCTTCTATACCGGCGTTGTCGATACGTTGTCTCTTACATGGGAAGAAATATGTCGTTGTTCATAGAAAAATGCATGCTGCCAAGTTGAAATACAAGCGCTCATATCATGAATTTAAAAAAGAAATATATAGTTATTAAACTCAACTTGTTGTCTTGTGCGATGTGACGAGAATATACTGCAGGAAGAACCTTAATAGAAACTCTTGATTTCTCGTGAGGTCTCACGACTTTTTCATAGGATATGCAGTATTTCCCATGAAGATCGTGAGGTTCCTCATGAGTATTATGAGTTTCCTATGAGGCCTCATGAGGCCTTTGTTCGAAAACACAATGAGGATATCATGACGTTTTTTCAACTGGATACTGAAAGTTTTGTGATTTTTAGAATGCCATTTTTAAGATTTACGAGGGTTTTTGTTCTCCACTCCTGATTTCACAATTGTGTCTACTAAGTACCAAGAAACCGTGATGGACTTGATATAAAACTCAAATTTAAAATTTTCTGGAAAATATTTCAAGTTGAGATACTTGTAATTCATTCAGTATCTCGCTGTATGCATTTGAGGTATAACTAATACATTATATGAACATCAGCAAAAGTTATTATAATATCAATTCACATGTCAAGTAATACAGGGTGTCCCATAAGTCACTTTATCATTTTAAAAAAATCATATTTACAGAACAATTGACGAAAAAAGTAATATGAAATGAACAATAGCGTGTCATTTGGAATTATATTTGTAAAAAAAAAAGGAGGTATTTCTGAGTTTTGAAAGTGCCTCAAAACGCCCTTCAATATCAATACATTTGGCATGAGACTCAATACCAAAAAATGTTTGAAACTCCCTTTGAACTCTGATGGCACTCTGAAGGACCTCCATCCAAGTGGAAGCTTTTCTTCGTTGCTCCTGCGACAATTGTGAAGCCTTTTCTCAAAACAACAATAGCAAGTCGAATATTTGGAAGAAATTTTTGCATCTCAAATTTCTCTAAAATCGGAAAAAGCACGAAATTTAGCAATATTTTAAAAAGAGGAGTCAACACGGTGAACTAAATATGTCCCTAAACAAGTACACCTCTCTAATATGTATTTGAAGCTCTTCGTTTTTCGAACAACCTAAGAAAAGGTATCCAGTCCCAAGATGTTGGTTTCTGCATTTCCTCTAAAAGTTGATCCAAGAAGAAAGTGAAATATCCAGAAAAGCTCACTAAGTGGGCACAAGTGTCTGCACGTGACTGCTTAAATACTATTCAGATAAAAGGAGTAAATTAGGGATAACCAATGTTATTGATACCGTGAAGTAGGTTTGTCCATCCTTGATCCATCCAACGACAATGTCAGATCCGGGCATGGCACCGTTAGCGGAGAAGCCCAATCCGGCCCATCCCTGGGTCTTCGCGTGCAGCTCGAATGTGATATCTCCGCTCTCCAAATCTGGTGTCCAGTACAAATTCATGATCCCATCATTATCCAGAGTCTCGTGCCTTTCCCATGTCTGGCCCAGAACCAGGGGGATCAGGACCAAGAAAAGTATCAGCTCGGCTCCGGTCTGCATTGCTCCAAAAGCGAGAAGCGACTGAATAGCTTTAGAAAACATTTAGATAGTTTTCCTTGACTTCCTTGAGAGGAACCACACCTGTCGGCGCTGTGCGAGCGAAATTGCGCAACAGGACGTTGTAGACAGATGACGAGTCTGGCAAGAAAATTCTTCCATATCGCTTCTCACCCGCCATTTCCAACCCGTATCAAAACATCAGATTCCAACTAACGTAGACCATTTTGTACACAGCAAATAATAAAGGTGAGATTCCACACCCTTAAGGGTGTGGATGCTTTGTCACTGAACAGCCACCTTAGGGGTGAGCATGATCACCATGAAACTACCGTGAGAATGCTCACCGTGGTGTCCAGCACCCTTGGTGGCTACATGGCCACCTTTGGGTACAAATTCCCGACCCACTTTTCACGATGGCCTCAATTTTTTTTAGGCTACATGCCCTTCGGCACCGCCTCCATGCGATATAACCATTCCCACGGGAAATCCATTAATGGTCACTCTCCATTCTTACCCCTGGTATTACATACGCACCCTTCGGTGGTTCATTCTCACTTTTCATAAGCGACGCAATCCTTCCCCCCAGGTCTATAATTCTCTAATTGATTATATATCCGATTCTAATTATGTGTCGCTGATTCATTCCAGATATATCTGTTTAATATACGAAACAAGAGTTTCGTATACCCCTATTTATATACCGCATGTATCTTCAACTGTATCGACATCCGTGTTTCCAGACCTAATATGATGTGTAGATCACACCCGCGTCCTGCGAGATCCGCTTCATTGGTAACAAATTTTCAACAGACATAAAGAACTCCAGGTTAATTTTTATTTGCAGAGAGAAAATACCAATAATAAAGGGAAGGAGTTCGAATTTCTGAATGCCACACTTTGGATCAATAATAGGAGATGCCTTACGTCATCTGGGTCTTCTTAACTGAATAAGTTCAATTCCTCAGCGAGTTCCGCCTCGTAGCATCCAAGGAAGACAAATTGTTGACATTTCGAACACCTGGGCATTGGTTAGGGGATGACTTTGAGCCATGCAAGGGATGCGGATCCACTCCATTTAAGCGACCCGACCCGCGGATTGGGTGGGCAGCTCGTTTGTCAATAAAGTTTCTTGTTTGAGAGTGTAATCGCCTGCACCAATCATGTTTCTTGTTTGTTACAGGCGAAAACACTTTCAGAGGGTCTTACAGCCGCTTACAGCTGTTGGCGGACCGTTGTGACCTATGAGAGCCCTGAACAGGCCGGCACGAATGTGACGTCATGGGATAAATGGAAACGTCAGCAGAACCACCTAGAAAAAGAAAAAACCCAAAGACCTGGATTTTTGGAACTTAGAGGCATAACCAAGCAGCGGCTTGGCCGATCACCAGCGGGATGGAGTCGGGTAGGACCACGATTCGAATCCCACCAATCGCATCTAACTCGAAAAAGTCGACCCCAGCAGGCCTCCGGCGGACAGACAAACTGACGAAGGACGTCGGCTATTATGTAGATGCACTCTTAGAAAAGAGTGAGCGACTTCTGAGAAAGGGAGCGAAACTGGAGTTAGTGATTTAACTCCCTAAAAACGAGGAAGTGCAATCGATAGCTACTCCATAATACGAGCAGAATCAATAACTTTTTTAAGAGCACGAAACGAAAGAGGGAAAGTACTTTTCAAATTAGTAGAAAAAAATAAGTGGATATTTCAAGGAAAGAGAGAGGTGAGCGTCATTACTTCCTTGTTTTTATGGAGTAAAATCGCTAACTCCAGTTTCACGACCTTTCACTCTTTCTTAGAGTGTAGATCACACCCGGTGCGCGGGATACACTTCGGGTTCAAATTTCAAAAGACATAAATAATTCGGGGTGGAATGACTTCCAAAATGAACTATCTGCAGAATGTTGCAAGGGATAAATCGGACGAAAATACTTCATGAATAAGTTACAGTGATACATGTTACAGCAGAGAGAGGTAAGATTATGTCATATTAATGTGTTTATATAATCGTTACGTTTTGCATGGGGACACATACTTCTTCATATTAAAATTACTAATTTCTCCCTCATCTTTCTCAGCTGAAATATGAATCAACGCAATCTACTCATCGAGAGCTTGCGATTGATATTTCACATGCAATATTCGAAGGGGTCCACTCTGGAAGTCTTTCCCTCATGATTATCAAAAAGAGAAATTCAATTAGGAATCAGATGAAAAGGGCATCGTTGAGATTCGAGAGAGAAAGAGAGAAAGCACTACAAAGTAGCATCAGAGAAATTCAAGATTCAAGATAGTTAGTGATATCAAGAGGCGAATTCGCCCATTTCGATATCACGTGTCGAGGTCGAGCGTTCCTTAATTTTAGGGTAGGCCTAACCCTATTAAAGCTATATATTTTTGTATTTTGTTTTGTTTTGTTTTTTTTTATAAATATTTTTGTTATTTGATTATCCTAGTTGCTTACTGTCTAGTACCTAACGTCAACGTTGCCCCACACCATTTTGCCTGTCCATGAAAGCATCTAGTTTCTTCTTAAAGAGTCACAGAGCGGGGCAGCCACTACTTCGTCATTAACGCATTCCATGCGTTCACCACTCTGCAAGTAAAGAATTCCTGTCTCGACCTGAGCCGCACCAGCGGTTTGCGCAACTTAAGTTGGTTACCTCTCGTTCTCTTGCTGCCATCAAACTGGAAAAACCTACCACACTCGACATTATCTATTCCTTTAATTATCTTGAAAGCCTGGATGAGATCGCCCCTCCTTAACCTTCGTTCGAGCGAGTACAGTCCCAACACTTCTAAACGCTTCTCGTATGATAGTCCCCTGACCTCCTTAATCATTCTTGTGGCCCTCCTCTGTACTCCCTCGAGCGCCAACAAATCGCCCTTATTTGTAGGCCTAGTATGATAGTCCGCTAACCTCCTTAATCATTCTTGTGGCCCTCCTCTGTACTCCCTCGAGCGCCAACAAATCGCCCTTATTTGTAGGCCTCCAAAACTGGATGCAATATTCCAGCTGGGGTCTTATCAGCGCCGCATACAACGGAAGAATAACGCGAGATGTCCTACTTGCAACCGAACGACGAATGTAACCTAGAATTCTGTTGCATTTGGCCACCATCGCTTGCGCGTGCGAGGAAAACTTGAGGTCCTCGTCAATCTTCTTAAGTACTCTTATTCTTATGTATTCTGCCTATTGGCAGGTCCTAGGCATCCATCTTCTCCATTCCAATCTGTTCTCCGTCTTTCTCTTCATTTTCAAAAACGACCCTTCCTTCAGTTCTTCCAGCATGCCAATTCTTTTCCTTCCTCTTGGTCTTTTCCCTTCCATTTTTCCTTCTATCACTTCCTTCAACAATCCTTCTCCGCGTAGAATGTGTCCAATCCAGTCCTTCTTTCTTCTCGCAATCATTTTCATTAGTTCTCTTTTTTCCCCAACAACTTCCAGTACTTCTTCATTTGTTCTTCGATGTATCCATCTTATTCTCTCCATCCTTCTCCACACCCACATTTCAAAAGCCTCTAACCTTCTGATGTCTTCCTTCCTCAAATCGGCTCTAGCCCTATCCGCCTCCCCCCTTATGGTAAAACCTATCTTGGTGTCGTCGGCAAATTTACTTATCTTACCCTCTACGCCGAGATCCAAATCATTTATGTAGACCAAAAACAAAAGCCGTCCAAGGACCGATCCTTGAGGGACACCGCTTACGACTCCGACCTCCTTCGACGCTTCCCCATTTATCATCACTCGTTGCTCTCTTCCTGCCAACCATCTACTGATCCACTCGCTCGTCCTACCCTGGATCCCGTGCGCCTCCAGTTTAACCCGCAACCTCTTGTGAGGAACGGTATCGAAATCTTTCGCGAAATCTAAATAGACGATGTCCACAGGATTCCCCTTGTCCCTCTCTTGGTGACTGGTGAAATTGACGTGAATGAACCTTCAGACTTACTTCAGAAGCAACAGGAACGACAAAAAAATTTTACGATGAGCAATGCGTAATTGGAAAATGACAAATTAGCCTGGTTTTTCTAATGCTGATACTAAGGAATATTGAAATTAGTAAATATTTTCTATATATACTTTAACCTTTACCTTTCCCAATATTCACTGAGAAGTTCATGTTCCAAGAACCTCAATACTTGGGAAAGTGTAAGATTTAATTTGTCTACGGCGAAAATGAAAGGGCAGATGAATTTTCAAAAGTGCATTGTAAGGATAACATAAGCATAATATATACGAGAATAACTCAAATTTTTTTTAATGAGGCAATTGCTATTGTCTTGGGACAATGCAATGTGGCAGTCCTTAAAATTACTGTGGGTCCACTGCAATGCTTCATTCTTGAAATACATCTCTCGAATCATGTTTTCCTCTTGTCTGAAGTGAAAGATGCCATACGTTCAAGAACCGAAAATGTCTCGTATTCGCAGTCAAATCGTCTCGTTTTTGTAACATCGTTCAACTTGGAAAAAAATAAAACAATTACGAGGGGCAATGTGAATGAGTAGGGAGGGTGAGGAAGCAGTTTGAAATATTTAACAAGCGCAATAGGCGCTATGGCGCCTATTGATTCACATTCAAAGCTGGATTCATTACAAGCACTCTTAGTGTGTTCGGCGTGAACATTTTACAATCTTGTGAAATTATGATAAAACAGGGAAAACTTGCAGAGAATCTACGAAGCAAAAACAATCGCGATTATTATGAATTAGAATTATTCTCACAGAACCACCGAAGGACAACGATTAATCTCCCTACAGATTGCGACATCGTATTCGTTGAGCAAAGACAAACGCCTATAAATATTGCAGAATCTCTTGCCCACCGCCAGAATTCCTTCTCACGTCTCCAGTCCCCCTGGTGAATATCGTCCCATTCCTGTCTCCCGGGGAGGACATGCGTATCCATCTCCTCCTATTCCTCCCCACTGTGATGCACCTATGACCCACCTGAGTGACCCGGTGGATGCAGGTGGACGTTTAATAAGGGAGCACACCAGGCTTTACTCGGC